ACACACACACACACACACACACACACACACACACCCCTCTGTAGCCCAGAGCACCAACCGTTCAAAACTCCATTCATTTATGTGATCGACTAATTAAGTACCTTCATTAGCAGCACCTGACTGCTGCTTCTCCTTTGAAGTCCAATGGAAGAAGTTAGGATGCATTTACTTTATTTAACACAACTTTTCTATTTTGCTTATCTTTTATAATGAATAAAAACAGATGAATGTGTTGAGTCTTTCACTACATTCAAAGCCGTTTAAATGTTTAAAGACTACCATCGAGTCGCCTAGAAGAACTTATCTTCACGTTTCTCCAACCTGTGGTCATTCAGACAGACGTCAGCTGCAGCTCCAACACTGGCAGATCGCCCTGGCTCATGTTCTGTCGGATGTTTACAACAGGTCAAATGAGCAAAATGAAGGAAAGCACAAATCTCTATTCGCCCAGACTTATGATGCAGACATAAGTCTGAACTTCAACCAATTTGTTGCAGATATTAAACCTTCCCATTATATTTCACCAAACAGAAGTTCACCTTCAATTTTTTTTGCTGTCGTCCAGATGTCTTTTTTTTTTTTTCCTTCTTAAAATCTACTAGGAAACCTGGATGTGAAGGAGTGCAGTTTTAAGTTTGAGCCCCCATTTACAGCTTTACTGCTCTCAAAACTCTACACACCCGTGTGAAAATGTCACCTTTTTTGGATGTAAAAAATTAAGGCTCTCTCTCTGTCTCTCTCTCCCTCTATTTTCTCTTGATCTCTCTCTCAACATTTATTGGGAACATCAGAGCAGGGGGTACAGGTTTAAGCAGTCCCAGGCTGGAACACAAAATTATATATATAATTGAGCAAAGGTCAACTAAGTGCTCGTAGGACGGCTGAACCTTACCTTTGCTTCATTTCGGTATAACTGGTGGCAGGTGTGACGTTAAAAATGACTGAATGCTGTCTGCGAATCCTCCGTAAAGTATTATTTTTATTGGAGGGCACATTTGTTGCAGCTGTATAATGGTTACATTTTTGTTCAAACGCACTTGATTGCTTACAGTTGCATTGTTTTGAGACTTTATCCTGTTCTGGGATTTTTTTTCCATCACAAACCGAGGCTTTAACAGAGGCTTATGGTCT